TGTGATTACAGGTATGATCCATTTCCTCCACATTGTCAAATTTCTAGCCATAAAGTTTTTGGTAGTAGTTAGAAATTGTCTCTTGTATCTCTGTGATATCAGTTGTTATTTCTCTCTTTTCATTTCTGATTGGGATTAGTAAAGATTTTACTATTCTATTTCTGGTTAATCTTCCCAATTATTTATTTATTTTATTTATCTTTTCAAACATCCAACTTTTTGTTTCATTAATTTTCTGAATGATTCTTTTATTTTCAATTTAATTTTTTTCTGATTATTTTTGGCTATTTCTTTTATTCTGTTAGGTTTTGGATCAGATTGTTCTTCCTTTTCCATTTCTTTAAGATGATTCATTATGCTATTGATGTGTGCTCTTTCTGTTTTTCAGAAGTAGGCATTTAATGTGATAAATTTTCCTCTTGGGACTGTTTTTCAGTGCCCCACAGGATTTGGTAGCTTGTGTTTTCATTGTTGTTACCTAAGGAAGTTAATGATTTCCTTTTTTATCTATTTCTTAAGATAAAACTGTCATTCTACATAAGGTTGTTTAATTTCCATGCCTTTGTGTGGGGATGACAATTTTTGTTGGCATTGAGTTCCACCTTTATTGCTTTGTGGTCTGAGAAGATACAAGGTAAATTTTCAATTCTTTTGATTTTGTTGAAGATTGATTTCTGTCCTAGGATATGATCTATTGTGGAGGATATTCCATGGGCTGACAAGAAAAATATATATACTTTACCTTTGGTATGGAGGGTTCTGTATGTCTATCAAGCACAATTTTTCTAGGGTCACATTTAAGTCCCTTGTATCTTTATTTAGATTCTATTTATAATATCAATCCATCTCTGTAAGAGAAGTGCTAAAGTCCCCTCCTGTGATCATTTTATGGGATATAATTTTGCTCACACTAATTAGGGTCTGTTTGGAAAATCTGGGAATATTTATATTAGGTGCAAAAATATTTAGAACTGAAATGTCTTCCTGTTTTATTGTTTGCTTGACCAATATGAGGTGTCTGTGTTTGTCTTTTTTGACTTTAGTTGCTTTAAATACATTGTATCTGAGAACAAGATTGCAACCCCTCTTTTCTTCTGGTTTCTATTTGCCTGAAAAATTGTCTTCCATCCCTTAGCCCTGAGTTTTAATTTGTCCTTTGAGTGTAGGTGTATTTCTTGGAGATAGAAAATGGTTTACTTTTGCTTTTTTATCCAATCAACCAGCCTATGCCTCTTCAGTGGGGAATTCAAGCCATTACTATTTATTAAGATAATCAATCAGCGTGGTGGAGTTCTAGTCATCTTATTTTGTAAAAGTCCATTGCTTATCTTTACCTATGTGTCATTGTAGAAACTAAGTTTTGTCCTTTAGTTTCTGGATTTTTAGTTTGCTGGTGGTCCATAGTGATAGTGTGTAAAATAGGTCTAAGTATTTCCTGTAGAACTGTTCTTGTTGTGGCAAACTTACTCAATGTTTGCATATCAGTAAAAGATTTGATTTCTCCATCAGTTTTAAAGCTTAGCTTAGCAGGATATAGAATTCTGGGCTGAAAATTATTTTGTTTAAGTAAGTTAAAAGTAAATAACCATTCTTTTCTAGCTTGAAAAGTTTCATTTGAGAAATCCACAGTAACCCTGATGGATTTGCCCCTATACATCAATTGGCACTTACTCCCAGCAACTTGCAAAATCTTCTCTTTTATCTTGACTTTAGACGGGTTCATGACAAATGTGTCGCGGAGAAGCTCTATTTCAGTTGAGACAACCAGCAGTCCAATGTCCCTCTGAAAGGAATGTGTCAGAATCTTTGGTAATATTTGGGGAATTTTCATTTATGATATCCTCTAGTAGGGCTTCCATTCTTCTGGGGAGTTCTTCTTCTCCTTCCCGGATACCCATAACTTGTATCGCTGAATGCTTCATGAAGTCCCACAACTCTCAGTGAACATTCTGCTTTCTCTCTCTTTTCTTCTGTCTCTGTAACTGCATGAGATAGCTTAAGAGCTTTATCCTCTACCTCTGAGATTCTTTCTTCTGCCATGTCCTTCATTGTTTTTACCATCTATATTTCAAATTCTCTTTCTGTCATTTCTAACATTTCTTTATAGGTGGAATTCTCTGCAGTAGCTACCTCACAATCCCTTGTGGGGAGGTTTTCTCTGTTCTAGTTATTCATGTTTTCAGGATTTTTCTACCATTTATTCCTCATGAGTGTTTTATTTGTGCCTATTTCCTGTTTTTGTCTGTTGCCCTACTTTTTCCTTTCACTTCCTCTTGCTCTTTAAGTTACTTTGCCTGTGTTCTAAGATCTTGAAATGTACTTTTGGTAAAGGACTAAAAGAACAAGAAAAGTGAAGAGCAAGAAGGGATAAAAGATTAAAAGAGAGAGAGAGAAAAGGTGGTGAGTAAAAAGGAAGACTTCCAAAGCAAGAGAGGAACAAAAAGAGAGAGACAGACATAATAGTGGTGTACAGTAGGGTACTTTGACCCCCCCACCCTCAAATCCCAAACTCTGGGGGGACTTGCTGGTTGAGTCCCTTGATGTGTGCAGCTCTTTGCCAGCCTTAGAAGACACAAGACCTCAACCCCACCAAATAGAGAAGAAAAACAAAAATAGTATAAATCAAACCAAAACAAGTAAACAAAAAAACTTAAGGGATAAAATTGGGTGAAAAAAATGAATAAGAGGGGCAGGAAAACTAGCAAAAATGAAGCCCTTATTATTAAAGGAGGCAACAAAACATGTCAGATCTATTAGTATAGAGTATTAGTATAGAATAGTTAACACAATAGCTAAGTAAACGAGATGAGATAAATATTAATCAGTGTGATGTAAGGATTCCTAATTCTATATGAAATCAGCATATGTACCCCATAAATGCATTAATGTATAAACAATCTATGTCTTTATGATTTAATTTTAAAAAGAAAGAAAAAATATATTTACATGAGAAAAATAAAAAAGAAAAAGAAAAATCTACAGGGGAAAGTTGAAAAAAACTTTTTAAAAAGAAAAAACTATACATATATATACTTTTAAAAACTATATATGTATACACACACAAATATATATGTGTGTGTGTGTAGATAGATATATATATTTTGCTATTTCCTGAGCAACAGGTGATCTTCTGGGTATAAGATGCTAATCACAATGCTGATTCAGCTGTATAAGATGGAGACTAGAAGGCCCTGCTAACTTCTTTGCCCTCAAAGTCCGCAGGGTTGGGAGCCTGAAGCTCTCCTCTTCCTATTTAATAGACACATCTCAACTTTTACAAACATATCCCTTGGTTATATAGTGGCTTTCTCAGGAAAGCATGTGTCACTCAGAGCTCTACCAGCCTCCCTCTAGGACCCTGAGGGCTGAGCCTGTAAGGCAGCTCTCCCACAATGGCTATGGCCGGCCTGCAGCAGAACAATGAAAACTCTACTCCACCCAGCACAGTCCTGACTTCTGGGCACTGTATATACCCTCTATCTTTCCTCCCTCAGGCCCAACTCAGATTCAATACTGAATACTCTCTTCTGGTGAAATAACTTTGTCTGAATTACTGTTGTCATACTTTAGGGCTATCTTCTTTGAAAAACTGAAGTGTGGGACTAGTATTGAGATAGTTTTTTGTGCCCTGCTAACTCATTGGATTATTTTTGAAAGTGAGGAACATTTGACATTTGGTTCACATCAA